CATATTTTGCACATTCCATGTTCCGATTTTCAGTGGATGTGTACACCTATTTCTCTTCATTTTGAGTTGTGCCCCATCAGCAAATGAAGGTCCCATGGGCTTTTCTCCCATGGGCTTTACTCCATTCATGTTATCATGGTCAACTCTACTTTGAGGAGGCAGCTCTTCCCTAGTCGCATTTTGAGTGCCTCCCAACCTGAGGGGCTCATTTTCCAGCACTATATCTGACAGTGTTTCTCTGCTGTTCATAATGTTTTCAGTGGCTAAATATATGGAAGTAGTTCAACACTCTTTCTTCTCCGTCTGGAAGCTCATCTGAAACCTGTGCATCATGGGTGACCCTGCTGGTATTTAAAATACCGGTGACATAGCTTTCAGAATCACAGCAACTCACAAGTCACCACAGTACAACAAATTGACAGACAAGTGGTAGAGAGGCAATGTTATGCTGCTTAAAAAGGATGGCTGATCCTGGGCCTGGGCCTACTGGAACCCACCATATGCATATAAATGGGGTTAGCCCAAGGAAGAAGTAAAGATTGAACTGGAGTGTTTTAAAAGATCTATGTTTGACTGGGATTCCTGGTGTGGTGTTGTTGGTTAATGTGCTGGACTGCAAAGTCCACTTGAACAGCAAAGCTGGTGGTTCAAACTCATCAGCCACTCCGCAGAAACCCTATTCAGGATCATTATGAGTCAGAACCAACTCAACTGCACTTAACAACAAGAACAGCAGCAATATGTGTTTGACTGCCTTATGGATACTGGTTTCTCCTGCCTATTGTTATAAAATAGACATAACTTTTGATAGAAATATTGGGAATTATGATTCCAGAGAGTTTGTAAACCCACCTTCAAGCTATACTTGATTGTATTTGTTAAAAGGGGAGTTAGAATTTGACCAGGAAAAATAGGCTTTTTGCTTTAAGCCTCCTTTATAGAGTATGGGTTTTTAAGTGGAGTCCTGAGCACCCCTCCACCAGAACCTTCAGAATTGGGACATTTGCATTTGAAAAGACATGCAGAGGAACCAACAACAGCAGAACAGAAGATTCAAGCAGAAAAAAAGCACTTTTGGAGGCATCAAGGCAAGGAAAGTCCACCCATCAGAGAAAACCCCTTTCTAGGACAGAAAGTTAAAGAGAACCTGTAAGCTGTATGTTCACTGGTGACCACCTGGATTTACGTCTGATTGGAATTGGGAAAAATGAAGCAGTGATGACACCGGCTGAGTTTGGACATGTTCTATTGGCATCCATTGACCTTGAGGAGCTAGACAGTGGCCTGATCTGAAGTTTAGGGAGTTGTGTGAACTCCTGAGCCCACAGGCACAGCTCTAGCTCTCAGAGGTTAGGAGGCAGCCAGTTTGAAGTACAGAGGCGTGTGTGTGTGAACTCCCAAACTTGTAGCTGGTACCCAGTTGACATAACTTGGATAGCTAGAGTTGAGCTGACTAAAACCTGACAAGATGACCATAAAGATGCTTGGTACTGTGAACAAGTGTCAATTGCTACAATTTGTTGGACTGGAGTTTGCTTATGGATGCAATTGCTCAAAATTCCAACCAGAATGGAAGATTCTTACTATCAAGGAATGCGATTGTCTCCTCACCGTACAGGGTTGATTGTTGTTGTTATTAAGTGCTATTCTGTTGTTAAGTTGGTTCTGACCCAGAGCAACCCTGTATAAGGTTTCCAAGGAGGAGTTGGTGAGTTTGAACCACCGACCCTGCACTTCAAACGGCTTTGCAATCTGGTGCATTAACCCAGAGCACCACACCAGGAGTCCACAAGGTTGACAGGGATGGGCAATTTAGATACTGGCTATCAAAAATGGTGGAGTGAAGGGTGTAGAGAAGGAGTCCTGGTGTGACACTGTGAGTTAATGCACTTGACTACAAAGTCAGTTTGAATCACAGAGTCAGTGATTTAAGCTCACTAGCTGCTCCTTGGAAACTCTATATAGACAGGATCACTATGAGTCAGAACCCACTCAACAGCACTTAACAACTATAAAGGCAGAGAGTGGCTAGCTAACAAGTTTTCATGGGTGTGCTTAATTTTAGAATGAGGGGACAAAGGAGAATATCTACTGACTTTGCTGTTATTCTTGCCATCGAGTCAGTTCCAACCCATAGTAACCCTGTAGAGGGTTTCCAAGGAGCAACTGGTGAGCTTGAACCACCAACCTTGCAGTTCAAACCAACTTTGCAGTCTTTAACTTTGTAGGCATTAACACACAGTGCCATACCAGGACTCCATTGTTATTCACCAACTCACTGGGAGACTATGAACAACAGAAGAAAATACTGCTCAGTCCTATGCCAACTTCACAACTGTCATGTTTGAACCTAATGTTGCTGACACTGTGCCAATCCATTTCATTGGGGGGTCTTCCTTTTTTTCCCCCCAACCCTCCACTTTACCTACCATGATATCCTCTACGAACTGGTCTCTCCTGATAATGTGTCCATAGGATGAGAGATGAAGTCTGGCCATCCTGGTTCCAAGGAGCATTCGGGCTGCACTTCTTGCAACACAGACTGGTTTGTACTTAATAGTCCATGGTACTCTTAATATCCTCCTCTAAAACCATAACTCAAATGGATCAATTTTTCTGCAGTCTTCCTTATTCACTATCCAACTTTCACATGTATATGAGGTTATTTAAAATACCATGGCTTGGATCAGACATAACATAGTCCTCAAACTGACATCTTTGTTCTTGAACACTATCAAGGGGCCTTGTGCAGATTTGCCTAAGGCAATATGTTCTTTAATTTCTTGACTGTTGCTTCCATGAGCATTGATGGTTGATCTGAGTAAAATGAAATCTTCAACAATTTCAATATTTTTTTCATTTATATAGATGTTGTTTATTGGTACATTTCTTTTTGGTACAATGACTCTGCATATTCCTTCCATCTTCTTTTGATGCTTTCTGCATCATTCAATATTTTGTCCATAGAATCCTTCAATATTGCAAGTTTGAATTTTTTCTTCAGTTCCCCCAGCTTGAGAAATGTTGAACTTGTTCTTCTCTTTTGTTTTTCTAACTCCAGGTCTTTGCATATTTCATTATAATATTTGACTTTGTCTTCTCAAGCTGACCTTTGAAATTTTCTATTAACTTTTTTACCTCTTCATTTCCTCCATTTGTTTTAGCATCTTTATGCTGAAGAGCAAATTTCAGAGTCTCTTCTAACATCTATTGTAGTCTTTTCCTTCTTTCTTGTCTTCTTAATGACCTCTTGCTTTCTTCCAGTATGATGTTCTTGATGTTATTCCGCAACTCTTCTGGTCTTTAGTGTCTAATGCATCAACGTTTTCTTCAGATAACCTCTAAATTCAGGTGAGATATGTTCAAGGTGATATTTGGGTCTTGTTGACTTGTTTTAATTTTCTTGAGCTTCAATCTAAACTTGCATATGAGCAATTGATTATCTGTTTAACAGTCTGTACATGGTCTTGTTTTGGCCGATAATATGGAACTTTTCTACCATCTGTTTCCACTGATACAGTCAATTTGATTTATGTGTATTCCATTTGGTGAGGTCCATGTGTATAGTCTTCTTTTATGTTGTTTAAAAAAGGTATTTGTAGTGAAGAAATCATTGGTCTTGCAAAATTCTATCATGAGAGCTCTAGCATCCTTTTTATCACCAATGCCAAAATTTCCAACTACTGTTCCTTCCTCTGTTTCCCACCTTTGCATTTTCTAGTCACTAGTAATTATCAATAAGGAGCTCTGGTAGCGTAGTGGTTACGAATCGGGCTGCGAACCTTAAGGTCAGCGGTTCGAAACTACCAGCTGCTCCGCGGGAGAAAGATGAGGCTTTCTACTCCCGTAAAGATTTACACCCTCGGAAACCCTGTACAGGGTCGCTATGGGTCGGAACCGACTCGACGGCACTTAACAACAACAACAAGTAATTATCAATACATCTTGATTGCATGTTTGATCAATTTCAGACTGAAGAAGTTGGTAGAATTCTTCAATTTCATCATCACTGGCTGTAGTGGTTGATGTGTAAATTTGAATGATAATGGTATTTACTGGTGTTCCTTATAGGCGCATGAATATTATCCGATCACAGAAAGCATTATAATTCAAGACAGATTTTGATTTTTTTTTTAAATGAAGAATGTGATGCCATTCCTCTTCAATTTGTCATTTCCTGCATAGTAAACTATGTGATTGTCAGATTCAAAATGTACAATACCAATCTACTGAAATTTCTAGGATATCCATGTTTATGCATTGCATTTCATTTTTGACAGTTTCCAATTTTCCTAGATTCATATTTCATAATTCCGTATTCTGATTATTAATAGATATGTACAGCTGTTTCTTTTCATTTTAAGTTGTGCCCCACAGCAAATGAAGGTCTCAAAGGCTTTACTCCCTTTGCACCATCACAATCAATTCTACTTTGAGTTGGTAGCTCTTCCCTAGACATATTTTGAATTCCTTCCAATTTAATACACTCATCTTATGGCACTAAATCTAACAATACCCTGGTCCTCTTCATCATGTTCTGATATTCAGTGCTGACAGTGTTCCACTGGTATTCATAGCCAAAGTTTTCAGTGACTAAATATTCGGAAGTAGTCCAAGATTTCCAGAGGTTTAACAGTTGGGGTGTGCTATTCCCACGGTGATGAAACCTAATACTGGCAGAGTTAGCTCTATGATGTGCTACTATGAGCAGCCAATCAATAGAAGGCATGCTTCCTTGGGGATGTGGCCTGTAACCAATATAATGGACAAGTGGGAAGGACTTGCTGTCTTCATCTGGGGACTGTGACTCTGCAATTGTAAGATAATAAACTTCTCTCTTGATATAATGCATATATATTGTTCACTGGTTTTGCATCTCTAGAAAACCCAGCCTAAGATACTAAGTGAAAAAGGAAATAAAAACTTCTATGTAGTAAAAATATAGTTCATAGAAAAATTCCATTATCTTCTAATTCCATTTTTTTTCATTAACTTTTTAAGTCCTCTTGTATAATGAGGCATTTTCATATCTGACAATAAAGTTTCTCACAAATTCTGGCCATAGGGAGCACTTTATTATTCTTGTTACTAATTATTATTATTGATTCAGGTGCTAATATATTAGCAAATGCCTAACTTCTTCCTTTAAAAAACTTACACTAAATATCAATACAGCATTGAAAAGGTGAAATGTTTTATTAAAAGTTGTATCTTCAAGCCTAAAAATCTAAAACTAAGAAAGATATGTCACTATTAAATAACTGTCTCCTAAGAAGGTTGTTAAGGACCTCTGGTAGCATAGTGGTTATGAGTCGGGCTGCCAATCTCATGGTCAGCAGTTTGAAACTACCAGCTGTATTGTAGGAGAAAGAGGAGGCGTTCTACTCCCATAAAGATTTACAGCTTCAGAAACCCTGTACAGAGTCCCTATGAGTCAGAACTGACTCCATAGCACACAACAACAACAACAAGATCCTTAAACAGCAAATTTGGCTCATTGTTGAATAAATTACTCAAAGGACCAGGTTTCTCTGAAACACAAAGAGATACATTTAGCCAGTGAAATTCTAAATTGGAAAATCTTTCTCTATTATAAAACTAAAAGCTAAAAACATCCATCATGTGTTACCTTTGAAATAAATGAAGCAGTAATAATCCAAAATTCTTTGCAATGTTTAGCTGTGTGAGCAGAGACTACCTGAAGATCATATGGATTGTAAGGAACTTTAGGATTATTCCGAGGAAGGCAATATATAAATTCTCCATCATCTTTCAATGGTTCCTGAGGTTTAAAAGAAATTACTCATTAATTTGACTAAAATTACTTGTAAAATGACCAAATACATTTCAAAATAAATTGGAAACATTTAATATAAATTAGATATAGAGTTAAGGGAAGTTAATTGTATCAAATCAATGCTAGATAAATTCTATCTCAAAAGATTTAATCTAATGTTTAATGTTTAGTCTTAAATATGACATGTTATGAAACATTCCTGAAAATTTATTTATATGTCTATTAGTTAATACTTGCCTACTAACTCAAAATGAGTCCTGATGTAGCGTTATGGCTTAATGCGCTAGACTGCACAGTCGGTTTGAACTGCAAGATTGGTGGTTTAAGCTCCTTGGAAACCCTCTAGAGGGTCACTATGGGTTGGAACTGACTCGATGGCACTTAACAACAACAACAACAACTCAAAAAGCTTGACAACATCCCTTTTACATACATGCCATTGCTGCTCTTGTTGTTGAGTGCTATTCTGACGCATAATGACCCTGTACAGGATCTCTGAGGAGTGGCTAGACTAGACATCTCCATTAATGTAGTTCTGAGTTGCTGAAGCCCAGAAATAATCTGCTGTTCACCTAAGTGTGTGTGAGTGTGTGAGTGCTGACTAAAGAATAGTAACTGGACAAGCATCCCAATATGCATCCTAACTGGGAGCTTTACAGTTATGATCCTAAGTAAAATGAAGTTTCCCTCAATGTGTGCAGCCACAAAGCAATTGGATTGTTGTATTAAATAATTAGTGTATACATTTTAAAAAACTGAGTTCACATATGTTTATATTATCTAGTATTTTATAAGGCATATTGGTGGCACTATGGTTTAGGCATTGGACTTCTAACAGCTTTCTGCTCTCATAAGGATTTACAGCTTTGGAAACCCAGAGGAGCAGTTCTACTCTACACACTACAGGGTCACTATGAATCAGAATTGATTCAATGGTAGTAGGTTTGGGGTTTCTTAAAATATAGTGATAGCTTCAGAAACTATTGAATAGAGTAACTAGTCCCCAATTATAGTTTTAAAAGTTGAATCTAGTTTTACAGGCTTTTTACTTTTTTTTGGCCTCCTCCCTAAAGAGATTATTGTGTTTTTTAATTTTCTCAACTGTTTTCTGTTTCTTATTTTGACTTCTGAAATAATGTGTATAAGTAAACCTTAAAAATGAATTTAAAAACTGCAGTTCCTCAGATTCACATCACACCCATGGAAACAGCAGTTAAAAAATCAAATGACTTATTTATTGCATTGGGAAAACTGCTGCAAAAGATTTCTTTAAAGTGTTAAAAGCAAAGATGCCATTTTGAAAACTAAGATGCGCCTGACCAAAGTCATGATATTTTCAATGGCCTCAGATATATGTGAAAGATGTACAATAAGGAAGCCTGAAGAAATTATGCTTTTAAATTATGTGATGACAACAAATATTAGATATACCATGGACTGCCTGAAGAACATATTTGTTGTACTTGGATGAAATACAAACAGAATTCTCCTTAGAAGCAATGATGGCGAGACTTTATCTCTTGTACTTGGGACATGTTGCCAGAAGGACAAATCATTGCTAAAGTGGAGGGTCAACGAAAAAGAAGATGACTCTATGAGATGATGGATTGACACAGTGACAATAACAATGGGTTCAAACATAATTGTGAGGATGACGACACAGGACCAGGCAATGTTTCATTCTGTGGTGCACAGGGTTGTTAGGATAATCTCTGTTCTAAAACTAGGAATTGTTTTTGTTAAGTTCTGTCGAGTTAGTTCTAACCCATAGCGACCCTGTATAGGGCTTCCAAGGAGCCTTGAAACATACACCTTGTAGTTCAAACTGACTGCAGTTCAGCACATTAACCCATGGCACCACACCAGGACTCCAGAACTAGGAATAGACCCTAGTCATTCTTAGATCAGTTGTAGTGAATAAGTTCACAAGAGGGAGACCTTAGTTCTTATCACATTGTCCCTCTCCCTCTGACCATGTGACATTGGTAACGATTATTTGAAGAAAATAACACTAAGGAGATGAGAAGCAGGAGAAAATGGAAAAATCATGGAAAGATCATGAAATAGAAAGTTACAAAATTACATTACAATTTCATTTTAAATCACACACACAAAAAGTCTAATTCACTGGAGAATAAAAAGAGTAGGCAGGCAGATCTCACTACTTTCTGAGAATCCAATCAGTAAGAGGGATGGATGAAAAAAGACAGACACAAATATTTTTAAGCACTCTAGACTTAAAACCTGTATGTCTTATCTATTCTTTTATACCTTAAGTGAGATTAAATGATGGAAAATACTTCTTATTAGCATTCCGAGTAAAGCAATGATTACAGTTTGGTAGCAAGGTAATATCTAACTTTGATTAAATGGTTGAAATGAATAAAGTAAAGTCAGTATGTAGTTTCAAATATTGATTTTTACAGTTCAAAACTGAATAAAATCAAATAATACCTTTAGAGTGATCTTCTTAATTGCAGTCTCAGAACGTTTGTTCTGTAGTAATACAGTTTGCAAACCAAGCTTTCCTCTTAACCTAGTAATATGTACTATCACATCATCAGGGTTTGGCTCTGATTTAGAACATTAAAAAAAAAAAAAAAAAAAAAAGATTCAATGTAAGTTCATATGGGCATCACGTAAGAATAATACATAGCATTTTACACAAAAACTAAAGGAGAAAATATATAGCTTACAGTTCAATTTTAACAGAAACTAAAAAAGCAACAGTATTTCTCCATTGAGGATAAATATCACGAAGACTTAATTTCACATTACACAGTTAGTAGTAAGAGAAGAGAGTAGGAACAGAAGCCAGTTATAAGACATTTCTTAAGGAAGAGATGGGATGAAGGCAGTAGGATTCAAAGAGAAGGAGTAAACAACTTTATGTTCTTCCTTAGTTATCATTTTTGGAAAACTTTTTATGGTGAATTGATCAAAGATTTACAGAGCACTACCAGTTTTCCATTCAACAATTCATACACATTTCATTGCAATCCCCACAACGGAAAATTATCCACTCTCTTTTATCTTGTGTTTTACATTTCCATTTTCTCCTTTCTTAATCATTCCATCCTTATAAACTTGGGCAAATTCTTGATATTATCTCACAACTTTTCTGGTCTTCAGTCATTAGTGCTTAATACATGAACTCTGTTACTGAGATGGTCTCTAAATTCTGGTGCGATGCAGTCAAGGTCATCTTTTGGCTCTCATGGACTTAATTTTCTGCTGCTTCAGCCTGAACTTGCATATGAGCAATTGATGGCCTGTTCCACAGTCTGCACCTAGCCTTGTTTTGGCTGATGATATTGATTTTTAATACCATCTTTTCCCATGGATGTAGTAAATTTGATTCCAGTGTATTCCATCTGGTGGTGTCTGTATATATAGTTGCCTTTTATGTTGTTTTAAAAGGCTATTAGCATGTAATATCCAGCTTCATTTCTATCCCCAAGGCCATATTTTCCAACAAAGACACAGAAAACCAAGTGTAACAGATGTAGATGATAGTCCTGGAACACTGAGCATCAGATGAAGAGATAGAGAAGAGGATTGAATGCTTATTGGGAGAGAATATTGAGTAGATGTGACAAAAACAGGAGAGACTGGTGACCCATGCCCACCGTCAGACGGGCATAGCCATCTTTTTTGATTGTGAGTGATTTCAGGGACAAGAAAACATTGGTGTTGGTAAAAACAAAAACAAAAAACCTTTGGCTTGTAGAGATTAAGATGAGATTTCCCCCCTTGTTCTCCACACTCTCCTGCTGACCTAAGGTGAGGCCAACTGCCATCTGTGTACACTTCCCCCAGGGAAACGCCTGCTCTCCGGCTGTGGTTGTAAGCCCCAATATAGGAGGGGAGGGCTATCTAAATTGACCCCATTCGGGTGGGCCCTGCTCCAAATCTGCAGAGCTCAACTGTACTAGTTGAAGCAGCTGAATAGATATATTGGGGAGACAAAGAAAAAAGAGGAGAGACTGGAGATTTGTGGCCATCTTGAACTTTTGAGAGTGATTTTGAAGGCAAGAGAGCTGTATATAAATGGGTGAATTTTTCTGTTGTTTTTTTGCACCCCACATTACCTCGGTGACGAGTGGTATGGCCAGCCCCCATCGGTGTACACTCCCAGGGAATTTTCTGCTCTCTGGATGGTCAAAGTCACATCCAAGTGTGGGGGGAGCTAGCAGCACCAACCCCAACATCTGGAACCAGCTGTAGCCTATTCCAGATCTGCAGAGCTGGTTCAGGTCAGTTCTGTACTAGAGGGTCCTCTTACTTTGGCTCCCCTTTGTGATGAAAATACCCTGATCCTCTAGCTTCTTTGGGGTCTGCACAAACTACTTCATTGATATTGGTGTTGTAAAATGGTTCAAACGCTGTGGAAAATGGTATGACAGTTCCTCAGAAAGTTGGAAATAGAAATATGACCCAGCAATTAGTTTATTTTGTTTACTTGGTTTACATTTACCCATAAGAAATGTGAGCCAGGACATGAGTACATTGCTGTTCATCATAGCATTATTCACAATAGCAAAAAGATGGAGACAGCCTAAGTGCCCATCAATGGAAGAATGGATAAAGAAATTTTGGTATATATGCTCAATGGAATACGATGCAACATTGAAGAATAATGATTAATCTTTGAAACACCTCATAACATTGATGAACCTGGAGGACCACATGAAAACTGTCCACCATTTGTGACCCTGCTAGTATTTTCAATACTGGTGGTGTATCTTCTGCATTACAGCAACACAAAAGCCAGAAGGCAGTGGGATGAAATATTTTACATGCTCTGGGTAGGAGGAAGTAGGGGAATCTGTCAGCAAAGAATTCTGTATCTACCAAAATGGTCCTTTAAAAATTAAAATGAAGACAATTTTAGGTACACCAAAGCTGAGATAATTAGTTACCACTAGAGGAGTCCTACAAGAAATGTTAAAGCCTTTCAGGTTAAAACTAAAGGATGCTAGGTTGTAAATAGAAGCCAGATGATGAAATAAAGACCTCCAGTAATGGTAATTTCATGAGTTAATATAGACAAACTTAATGTATTTTTTACTTGTAACTTTATTTGTTATGTCACTTTAGAATAAGCACTGGACTGATAACCAAAAGATTGGTGGTTCAAACCCAAAAGTCGCTCCTTGGAAACCCTTTACAGGGTCACTGGCATGTATTCAAACTAGACTACTATAAATTTAGGAGGTTAAGTGTAATCTATATTATAACTAAAAAGAAAATGTTTAAAATACATACTCAAGTGGGTATAAGAAGTCAGTGAAAAAAATGGCTTACTACAAACAATGAGTTAAACACAAAACAAAATAGTATTGGAGGAAATGAGGGACAAAAAAAGATATGACACACAACTAATTACAAAATAACATTTAAAACACAAATGCCACAACTATATTACATAATGCTTACAAGAGATCCATTTTAGATATAAAGGGTTGAAAGTAAAAGGATAGGGGAAATATTCCAGACAAATTGTAATCAAAAGAGAGCAAAGGTAGCTATATGAATATCAGACAACTTAGGATCTAAGTCAAAATCTGTTGTAAGGCATAAAGAAGAAAATTATATAGTGATAAGAGAGTCAATTAATCAAAAATGTAATAATTATAAACATATGTGTTAAATCTAACAACAGAGCTCAAAATATAGGAAGTAAACACTGACAATTCCATCAATTGTGCCTTGTTCTTTGCCAGTGCCTTCAGTGTATCTAGGGCATCTTCCTTCAGTATCATTGGTTCATGATCATATGCTATCTTTTAAAATTGCTAGTACTGTGACTGTGAATTCCTTCCATTTTCTTTTGATGGCTTCTTCATCATTCAATATTTTGCCTATAGACTCCTTCAAAAATTTCAAGTCGAGGCTTGACTTTTTTATTTAGTTACCTGAGTTTGAGAAATGCTGACTTCTAACCCTAACCCTTTTGTATTTCTAACTCCAGGTCATTACACATTTCATTATAATATTTGACTTTGTATTTTTGAGCTGACCTTTGAAATTTTCTATTCAGCTCTTTTACCTCTTCATTTCTTCCATTTACTTTAGCATCTCTACACTGAAGAGCAAGTTTCAGTCTCTTCTGATAACCAATTTGGTTTTTTCTTTCTTTCTTGTCTTCTTAATGACCTTTTGCTTTCTTCCTGTACGATGTTCTTGATGTCATCTCACAACTCTTTTGGTCTTTAGTGTCTCAAGTATCAAATCTCTTCTTCAGATGCTCCCTAAATTCAGGTGGGATACGTTTAAGGTCATATTTTGGCACTTTTAGAATTGTTTTCATTTTCTTCAGCTACAGCATGGACTTGCATATGAGTAATTGGTAGTCTGTTCCACTGTCTGCCCTGGCCTTGTTTTGGTTGATGATATGGAGCTTTCCCCACCCTCTCTCTCCACAGTCAATTTGATTTATGTGTTTTCCACCTAGAGAAGTCCTTGTGTGTTATGTTGTTTTAAAAAAAAAAAAAAGGTATTTGCAATGAAGAAGTCATTGGTTTTGCAAAAATCTCCAGCATCATTTTTATCATGAAGGCCATATTTTCCAACTACTGATCCTTCCTGTTGTTTCCTACCTTTTGCATTCCAATCATCAGTAACTATCAATACCTCTTGATTGCATGTTTGATCAATTTCAGACCGAAGAAGTTGGTAGAATTCTTCAATGTCATCATCATAGACTTCAGCTGTTGGTGCCACAAAAGTTTAAATAATAGTGGTATTGACTGGTCTTCTTTGTAGGTATATGGATATTATCCTATCACAGATAGTGTTGTACTTTAAGACAGACCTTGATATGTTCTTTTTTATGATGAGTGTGATACCATTCCTCTTCAATTTGTAATTCATGGCATAGTAAACCATGTGATTGATTGTCAGATTCAAAATTGTCAATCTAGTCCATTTCAGCCACTAATGCCTAGGATATTGATGCTTATGTGTTCCATTTCATTTTTGACAATTTTTCAATTTTCCTAGATTAATACTTTGTGCATTCTAGGTCTCAATTATTAACGGATGTTTACAGCCATTTCTCTTCATTTTGAATTGTGTCCATAGTCAAATGAAGGTCCCGTAAGCTTTACTCCATTCACATCACCACCGTCAATTCTACGTTGAGAAGGCAGCTCTTTCCCAGTTGTATTTTGAGTGCCTTCCAACATGATGGGGTCATCTTCTGGCACTATATTTGACAATATTCCAGTGTTCTTAATCATGTTTCAATATTCAATATTCTGGTGCTCTCTGACAGTGTTCCACTGCTTTCATAAGGTTTTCAATGACTAAATATTTAGAAGTAGTCTATCTCTCCTTCTTCCTAATCTGTCTTCATCTTGAAGCTCACATGAAACCAGTCTACCGTGAATAACCCTGCTGATATTTAAAATACTCTTGACATAGCTTCCAGAATCACAGCAACATGCAAGCCACCACAGTATGACAACCTGACAGACAAGTGGCGGATTTGACATCCAAGCACAGGAAATGTTTATATACAATTGCAGGGAAGTAACAAAGGACCAATTTCTTATATTTCTTCAAAGATTTACCTAATAGATAGATTTTCAACACATAGAATAATGGGGGAAATTACTGAAAATGGGGCCTTTTGAAGCAATTAAATTTTATTACACTCTTTATATACATTTAATGAGTATTTATGTAACACAAGACATTGAACTACAATCTAATAAAATATAAGGCACAATAATTGCAAATAAAAAAAAGTAAGTGCTACTGAAATAGCCAATAAATCCTATTTCAGCCAATAAATCCTAATTCAGAAGAGGGAGAGATAATTTCCCATATGTAATCAGAGAAGACTGAACACTTGACCTCTTCTGAGAACTATACCATAAATGATAGCAAGGTTTTAAACTGTGGGAAGGGACATGTTAGGAATGAGAGAAAAACATAAAACAAAGGATTGGTGAGAAGACCACAATAAGATCTTCAGGGGAAATTTGTGTTAGACAACTATGAAAACTTCCCTCTATCTTTAACCTTTATTCCAAGGTTATCCCCCTGATCTTTGTCTTTATTGAAAACTGGTTATTCCCTAAAGACACCACTTGTATCCCTCTAAAGTAGTGGCTAATTCTCTCCTGCAGCCCCAATACTCCTCAAGATTACAAAGTAGGCTTGTTCTCCTTGATTCACATCTACTACTTCCAGATCATTACAGAATACAGACTTTAGAAAACAAACTAACAAACAAAAAAACAACAAAATACCACCACAACTAACAAAACAAACAAAAACATCCCAATCTTTTGACACTCATACCTTGTGATTATCATGTTTTACTTTTTGC